TGTTGTGCACAAACAATGAATCATGGAACACTGCATCAAAAACTAATGATGTAATGTATGGTGGTTAACATAACAATAAAAAATATTTTAAAAAAATAAATAAATAAATAAAAATAAAAATAAAAAAACAGACCGAAACTGTAATGTTCTACCATAAAACAACTTAAAACATATTAAGAAAATGGTAGCAATCATGAGAAAACAACATAACCTGGAATCCGCAGAACTTAGGAGGTGCCAGAGTCAGGAAAAATTAGAAAGGAGACTGAGGAACGAAGGCCAAACCACAAGAGTAGAGCCTCGAGCCCGACAGAGGCCACCTGAGGCAGGAGCGGCCTGGAGGGAAGCATGAATGCTGACAGCAAAGTCGACACAACGTCCCACAGCTGGGAGCCCCAAAGAGGAAGCCGAGTAAACCCAATAGGAGAGAAGGTTTTCCCAAATAAAAACACACCTCAAACTGCTGTTGGAGGGACTCAACCCAGGATAACCAATTCCAAGTAAAATTAAAGACTCTTAAAAAAAAAAAAAAAAAAAAGAATCCTTTGGGCAAAAAGAACGCATGATATACAAGAGAAATAAAATTAGACCATCATCAGGCTTGAATAGCAACACTTTATGCCGGGAATAAATACCCAAGGTAAAACAGTTATGGTTCTCGAGTAAAGAAAATGGGAGCCAAGGATTTCAAGGCTATCGACACAGATCTTTAGGTACACAGGACACAAACTGTCATCCACGTGTAAGAACTTGGGGATGTTGTCCCCACAAACCCTCCCAAAGACTGTGGCAGAGAATGAGACTCAGAAAACCAAAAGGACTGCACAGACACCACCAGTGCTAAATACAGTCACTCAAGGAAACAACGCCAAGGGAGGGTGAAAGGGACAGAGGCAAAGACGTGACAGCTAGACCACGCACGACTTCAGCGGTGAGTAAAGAATGTGTGCAGGCTATGACGGGCCACATCACAGCCCAGCCCACCCGAGGAGAAACACCTTGCTCCCACCCTGGCACCCAGCCCACCCAGCCAAGACGTCAAAAGGCCTTTCCCTGGGAGGAAAGCTTACTCCCGAGAATAAGAGCCACCCCGACAAAGCCTAAGACCAAAGCTGGCCAGGGAAGGCGGAGTGTGCAGGGGATTCCTACCAGGTCCCAGGGGCACCAACACCAAAGTGAAAAACAAAGCATACAAGTCCAGATACCGCCTGCTGAAACAAAAACCAGCACGCTTGAGAAGAAGACAAAGCTGGTCTCTCATCCTGTCCTCCACAATATCCAGCATTGAGTAACAATCACTAGACACGCAAAGAAACGGGAACATGAGACCCACCGCTGGGGAAAAAAGCAGGGACCAGAGACTGACGCTGAGGCAGCCCAGATGCTGGCCTCGAAAATGCACTAAATCAGCTTTTAAACACAGGCCAAAGGCATGATGCCCTGGGAGATGCGCTCTCAATATGTGAGCAGACAAGGAATCTTAGCAAAGAGTCAGAAACCCTAAGAGAGACCGACTAGACACCCGGAGTCACAAACACACCAGCGAGTGAGAGCTTCACTGCGCGGGCTTCACGGCTGGTCTGCCAACGACACAACCCCATGTGGTCAGGGGGTCTGAAGATTTATACCAGGAGAGACTGTCCTTGTGAGGACACAGAGAAGAAAAATGAAAGAAAACTGAACAGTGTCAGAGACCCAAGGGCAACATCATCAGGTCCAACATACGTGTAATTGGAAACCCCACTCAGAAAAAACACGCTGGAGCAGGAAAAAAAATTTTGAAGAAATAAAGGCCATAATGTCCCAAATTTGAGGAAATACACTGACCTACACATCAAAGAACGCTGAGCAGGCTAAATGTCAAGAGAACCCAGTCCAAACACAACCCAGACAAACTTCTAGAAATTGAGAAGATAATCTCAAAGCAGCCAGAGAAGGGAGAAACAGCAGGTGCAGGGCACAAGCGTAAACCTCAGTGGGGCGAGGAAGACAACAGAGCTGCCCCTTTCACAGGAAAACGATGGTCAAACGGATATTACAACTATTTCTCAGATTTAAGAATAAGAGTTTTGCAATTTTGGGAAACACGCTGGGAAACCTCCCACCTTTTTTGTGATCTGGAACAAGACAGCCCAGCATTCAAGTGGGAGTGTCCTTGGAGGTGTGAAAGACATCAGGGGTAAGACAGAGGGGCCCAGGGAACAGGCGAGAAAGTGCAGAGTATGAAGGGTGCCCAGTCCTTGGGTGCACGTATCCTTAGTGTGTCTTCCCGAAAATTAAATGACATCTATCTGGATACACTCAGCTTATCCAACAACGTAGAAGAAAATAAATCTTAGGGGCGCCTGGGTGGCTCGGTCGTTAAGCGTCTGCCTTCAGCTCAGGTCAGGGTCCCAGGATCCCGGGATCGAGCCCCACATCAGGCTCTCTGCTCGGCGGGAAGCCTGCTTCTCCCTCTCCCACTCCCCCTGCTTGTGTTCCCTCTCTCGCTGTGTCTCTGTCAAATAAAAAATAAATAAATAAAATCTTTAAAAAAAAAAAAAGAAAAGAAAAGAAATCTTAAATGATAAAAACACTGTCAACCCAGAATTTTATATTCAGGGAAAATATTCGAAATTGAAGGAGAAACACTGGCCCTTTCGAGTAAACAGAAGTCAAGAGAACCCATCATCAGCGTACCACACAAGAAACGCTGGGTGCTGCCCTTCAGGCCAAGGGAAACGCTGCTAGTGCAAGCCCGGACCAGCACCGCACCGCCGGAAGCCGTGACCTCGTGTCAGTGGGAAAGGCCAAGTGTGCTTTCTTCTCATAATTTACTTAAAAAATTAGTGACGATCTAAGCAAAAGTAACAACACCCTGAGGTTGGGTTTGTAACTAGGTAAAGATACCACAACGAACAAAACAAGAAACTAACAAAATCAGACAAACAGAAATGGGCAAGGGCCCCTTTCCTTCCTCCAGGCCTGCGTCACGCGTGCTGCTCCAGGCCACCCTTCCAACAGAGTCTGCCTGCGCTCCTTCCACCAGCGGTCCAACCTCGCGGCACCCTACCCCGGCCAGCAAACCTCCTCTCGGACAGAACCGCCAGCTCACGGCATCTCCACGACAAGCCCACGTGAATGTCGTACAAATATTCCAAAGGAGAGCCGCATGTAAATGCAAGAATGCCGGTCCTCAGGTGTGTCCGCCCACCTGGAGAGCTGAGCCAAGAGGTGCTCCCAGGCCCTGCATGCCCTCAAGTGCTGCTGCGCTGCGTACCTCTGTCCCCGAGCCCGGTCCTGGGGAGTCCACTTTCCTCTTTTTCCTGGGCCCGATGGCAGCGAGGGCGGTGAGGTTGGCATCACGCTGCCGCATCTGAGCCAGCTCTTGTTGCTGCATCTTCGTTTTAAAAGAGAAATGAGACTGTCATCATTTCATGCACGTTACCTTTTACTACAAAAGTAACAGCAAAGGATCTTTGGAAATTGTCTAAATTAAAATTTCTTTACTGTTTTGACTGTAACAGTTAAGCTTATCCTACAATCAGAAAAATCATAAGCCAAAACAGATGCTCATCTTGAGAAGCTCAGAAAATACAACAAACTGTGTACGTGTAAAGGCTGAAGGCACGCAACGAGAAATTACTGTCACCCTGAGGAGGACACAGTGTCCGCACCTCTGCAAACATCTCCTATCGCTTTGTCACAGAAATGCCACCTTTCTTCCCCTTTCTCTGGCTGGACAATTAGGTTACATAAGAACCTATTCCCTCTCTCACTGTCTCTCTCTGTCAAATAAATAAAATCTTTAAAAAAAAAAAAAGAATCTATTTCCAAGCATATAGTAAAGATTTTTTACTAAAAGAGCTTACCTCTTTTGCCTTCTGTTTCAACCTTAATTGTTCTGGATCTTCTTGTCTGGATCGAGACTATTTTTTAAAGTAAAAAACAAATTATGATCTAAATGTCTATCATCTAACAAACACGCTATCTTATTCACAATATAATATCCAGATCATACGACAGAACGTATACTACATTTTTAAATGCTTATTTACAGCCAGAAGATGAAAATTTAGCCTGCACATCATGGGGAAAAAACAACCATTATTCTTAAGAAAATCAATCCCACTGGAGAAGAGCACAGAGGCGGTCATCACCATGCCCACCGGGCACAGGAACCTGACAGATGGTGTGCCAGGACGGCCCGCAGGGACCTGGACTCAGGTCCACATCCTACCCGCGGCCCCCTCCTAAATCACACACATCACATTTTCTGCAGGGCCAGCCCCCCAACACCACGCTGGCCTCCCGGAGCCCCTCGTGTGCGCGGGTGCCCAGGGCAGGGAACGGCCCTGCCCAGTGAGGTGCAGGTACTTGCCTTGGCCGCTCGCATAAGGATTTCTCTCTCCTGCTCATCTTTCCTCTGCTTTTCAATTTGGTCGAGCTGCTCAAAAAATTTGAGCTGAGCCCGGACGTCACTTGCCTGCTCGTATCTGTCGTCATCCTACAAAAAGGTAAAAAAACATGGTCATAAATTTGAGGACTGGGCTGGGGAGGCTGCACACCAGCCCGCCTCCCAAAGCAAGTCCTACAGAACCTCCACGCACCCGACCCCTCGTCCCCAGACGGCCTGCATGTTAACACGCAGACAAGCGAGTGTCAGGAGAGCTGTGCTAGGGCTCAGGGGGGTTTCCACCTTACACACTTTGGTATCATTTGATTCTTTAACTGCCACTCCGACAGCACCAGCCTCACTCAGTTGGGCCCCTCCAACCTGTACTCGTGTGAGGGAGGGAAGAGGAAGGCGGACCCGGCCCTGCAGCCGGCCCCCTGGACCCTCCACAAAACAGGACAGTGGTCCGAGTCACAGGAGCAGGTGTGAACCAGAGCCACTCGGTCTGCAGGGCTAGCTCGAGGCCGCAGGGGCACAGGGTAGAACCTGCAGAGGCTCTGCGACCTCCAAGGCCGGACAAGCCACGTCTGCCCCAGCCCCAACCCAGGCTAGACCCCTGCCGTGCATCCTTATGCAGGCCAGGCTTCCTTCCCCAGCCAGGGCACACAGCGCCCAAGACCACCATGGGCTAAGAGGGGCAGCATCGCCCCCAAAATGTAGCTCCAAGAAACATTCCTGTGCCGCGCCCCCACGCCTGGTGCGGGAAGAGGCTTCCCAGCAGTGCTGACTTTGAGTCCACGGCAAGCGCAGCCTCTTCAGGAGAACAGCGTGTTACCTTGTAAGAGAAGTTCTTCTGCTGAGCCGTTTCTGATATTTTTTCTACAAGGTTCTGTAGCCTCTGCTGGGTGGCGTGGGATACATAACTCACTACGTCTGGATGCAACTCCGTGATGCCGTGTTTTTTACCTGGGGGTAGGCAACACTTTACAAACGTCGCTGTTCTCTCGTCCACCGCTCAGAGCAACGTGAGGGTAGCCCAGGCAGGCCCTCGGGGTGGGAGGGGGTGGTCTACATCACTGCCACTACCTGAGAACCACTGGCATCAACCACGTAGGACACGGGCAAAAGGGGGAACAAGGCACCAGGCATGTTCGCTGGGGCCTACATGCCCCGCCAGGGAGCCACCAGCAGAGGGCGGCTCCACGGAGGACTACAGCCACGCGGGCACACCAGAGGTCGGGGGACGGCCACAGCGCGCCCACATACCTATTTCTAAGATTCTTCTTTGTAAAGGCGCTGGTAAGAGGAAGGTTTCGTCCTTACAGGACCGTGTCAGGGTGCCCACTAATTCAGAGTTCGTGGCTAATATTCGTGCACTTTCTTCCGACAGGTTTACTCCCGCCATCGAGGCCACATCATTGATGTCATCGTCGTCCCTTCAGAGAAGACAATGCTGACTGAGCAAGGGGCACGTCAGGAGGTGTACTCGGGGGGCATAACCTAGTGGGACCCTGTGGTAGAAGGCATGCGGACGCCCCTCCAGGCACGCGTCCCAGCAGCTCCCGCCTGCACTGCGCTGTCCCCGGAACAAGGAGGCCTAGCGATCTTCTCTGAAACTGTTCTTTTAAAGGAAGACCCGCCAGGGGTTAAAGCCGCACAAGTTCTGGCATGAGGACATGTGCAGAGGGCTCCCCAGGCAGGGCTAAGTTGAGGGAGCAAAACCCAGCAACACTGTCCTCACAGCTTCTAGGAGTTTCTTCCAAGTGAAACCTTTCTTAAAAAATCAAAGAGCATTAATTTATTCATAAAACAGTCACAGTTATGGAAAGCGGGAATACGGGGTGCAGGGCTCTTTTCTTCCCGAATCACCTGCGGGGAAGCTGCCAACCTGACTCCCCACGCCCCACCCCGAACACCCCATGTGTGCTCCCTGTGCCCAAGGGCGTCCCCTACGGAGCAGCCGGGCGACCTCTGCAAGCAGGCCGCCAGCCACGCTCACAGCCCCTCCGCATGGCTCTTCAGCCTCCTTAGCCTGGAACATTCTTCAGCCTTTCCTTGGCTCTCGTGCCCGTGACCCCTGCAAGGCCACAGGCCAGGCGTCTTGTAGCACGTCTGTGTCCCCATTTGACTGATGTCCCCTCCCCTCATGACAAGAATGTCCCACAGCCCCACACAGGCTGGGTTTCCTTGGTCCCTTCCCGATGCGCTCCGAGCTCCAACCCTCGGGGGTCCCTGCTGGTTTCCCCTTTTCCCCTAAGCTTCCCATTTATTTGTTCCCATGGACTCGTGCTTTCCCATCTCAGCCGGTGGCAGTCTGTCACTACACACACAGGCGGGGGAAAGGAGGCCCTTCCAGGCGACTTCTGTCAGCTCTACCGCGTGCCCATCCACCCCAGCACTGCTTTCTGACCTAACGAGATGCACCAGCTCACACTGCAGAGACCCCAGAGCCAGCCCTTCTAAGGTGTCTGGGTCATGAGAACAGAACGGCTCTCAGAAGACATGGTCTGAGCGCTGGGTGTGCTTGCCACCACCCCAGGTGCCTCCAGTGCACAGGGCAAGGAGCTTCATCTCCTTCCCCCGATGTCCAGACACTGAACCCCAAGCTAACCCAGCACTACAGAGACCGTCCTAACTCCCTTCCCCTGCAGGAAGACAGCACGGTTCCCAGTGGCCTTTGATCTCTTACTTCTCTGACCTGCAGGTGGACCCCCTCCCCGCCCCACCGGGTGCTGGCCCTCCGTGCCAGACCGCCCAGGCACAACACCCTCCCCACCCCGCTGACGCCAACCCTGCTCCACCGGCCAACAGCTTCAGGGATGCCATCTGGGAGGGGGCAGCCCCGTGAAAACCCCCGAGACATGCGCCCTTTCCTGCTGCTTCCCCGCTAACCATGTCAGCTCTACAGCCTGTGTACCGCGTGTCCCTGACACGTAGCCCCTTGCCCGGCTGCTCATCAAGAGCCCACAGTACAGCATTTCTGGAAGTTAAAGAAGGGCAAGTGAAGCATTCTGCTCTATAGCCGTGATGTACTCAAAACACTGACACGCGACATCACAGCGACAGGTTTTCTATTAGTTCATACACCAAAGAACACTGGTTTACTTCCTGCTACGTGTCCACAGCAAACCTCCCTACACTAACTTCGTGGGAAAACGTGTACACAAAGGTCAAAATGAAGCGTGGAAAGAACACGGTATCGAAATTAGAGCAGCTGGTGCCACGCAGGCAAGGCCGGCCCCGGGACACAGGCTCCCGCCCCGCCACGCACCCCGGGGTCGCTCTGCTCAGTGCGTGCAGGCGCACTCCTTACCGAAATGAGCCTCCCCCAGGCTCCTTGAGTTTGTTTTTCTGCGCAGCAGCTGCTTGAGCCGAGACGGCAGAGAGAGCTTTGGTTCCAGGTAGCACGGCGGGCTTCACCACGGGGACTGCAACACAAGACACCAACGGTATACCCACCAACACGCTGGGGCACACTCTGCAGAAGCCACCGCAGGCTCTGCTGGGAGGCACCACCGCTGCTCTGGACCCTGCTGGCCGGAGGGGAGGGCATCACCGCTCACCGGCCACGACGAAGCCGGTAAAAACACCGGACTCCCGACTGAAATCATAGGCCACAGAATAGCCTCTCAAGCACTTACTCTCCTGAAACTCATCGCGCTTTTTCAAGTGCAGGAGAGGCTTGGGACATAAGCCAGCAGCGCTAACCGTATCTGACTCTGGACCCCCTCCCCCAACCGAGGCCAGGAGGTGATGGCCGCACAGGGCTCCACGTGCAGGTAACGGCACCAAACGGGGGGCCCTCACCTGGCTGCAGCTGGTTCAGCTGGATCTGCTGGGGCGCGGTGAGCACGATGCGGCTATGAGGCTGCCGGAGCGCGACCATGGGTGTCTGCGTCAGCGTCACCTGCGGCGGGCGGATCAGCGCTCCGGGCTTGGGCGGCTGCTGGATCACCTGAGGCAGAGCCACGGGCCCATCAGTACAACCCCCCCCCAACCCCCCCAGGGCCGCCAGCACCCGTCCCCGGCCAGGGCCCCGCCAGGACCGGCACACCCGCGTCAGGCGCCACATGAGAGGCAAGTTCTTGAGGCAGATCTGCACATGGGGCCTGAGGTCCTGAGGTCATTGCAGGGAGGAGGCAGGCTGACTCAGCGGTCTAGCATGGAATACGCCTTCCCCAACAAATCTCAGCGCAGGGGATACCACTGCTGGGGGCTGCAGGGCACATTTTCTCCACATCTGTCTCTAAGAGGTGCGCTGCCTTTTACACCAGGGGGAGGTCAGATTTCCCAAGTCCTGCCCTGAATTCCACACTCAAGGAAGAGCTTCTCAGACCGCCTCTCCATGGGGACCTGCCCGCACTCACCACCCAAGGCTGAGCTCGGGGAGACGCCCTCAGAGCAGAGTCCAGCCCCGGCCATGTCCCTGCTACCCCTTATCCCAGGCCTGCGCGGCGCGGCACGGCACCGCCCTGCCTGGAGCCCTGTCAGCTGGAGCGCGCTCCCACCTCTGTCCTGCTCAGGGTGCCAGCCGTGTAAGGCCCTGCGCCCAGCCTAGCGCTGCGCCCTGCACAAGCAGCACTCCCCGAGCTGGGGAGACACCGCCTGGCCCAAAACCTCTGGGGCCAGAGAAACAATTGTTTCTAAATGTTACAAAGGTGACCTGCTGCGTATGCCCTGGACTACGGGACACTCACTGAGGGGACGGGGCAGTGCCCTGCAACCAAACTATCTCGGCAACAAACCTACGAAAACTCACACCATAAAGGAGAGTCAAGACAGCTATTGCCTCAAGATGTGCGTGTCAGGTTTTGCCATAAACTCAGGGAAAAGCCTCAGGTTTGCGTCTCTACAGGCTTCGAGGCAGGGAATGGGCCAGGTTCGGGCCTGATCACACTGCTATCCCCCCAAACAGGCACAGCACGTCTGGCAGGACCAGGGAAGCGGAATGTAGAAGCGACCCTGCTGATCAGGACAGCCTCTGACCATAAACCACAAACATGGGTCAGGTCGTTCACAACCACGCACTAAAACTCAAACCTTTCAAGGAAAGACGACTACCCACCGAGAGACCGCACCTTTTACGTAAATTAGCCCCAGTGGTGAGGACAGTCCTGTACTTAAAAATCTCTTCCCCTCGGTGTGAAAAAGACGTGAGGGAGCCCTGACTTCTCACGCACACCTTCGCCCGGCCCCATCCCCCGCACCGAAGTTCCCAGCCCCGCAGGTGAGATGCTTTCATCCACCAGTGAATGCAAAGACAGAGACTTTCACGCGAGCAAGTGGGCAAACAGCCTAACGGACCCTGGTCGCTCACTCTGTTCTTAAGTGGCCACTACAGTAAAATACATTCTACAGCCCACTATCAAGTGACAAGGGAGACTGAGCTGTGCAGGTTTTTTAACTGTAGAGAAACTAAATCCCCTTGAAAGTTTAAGAAAAAAAAAAAAAGTCAACTGCCCTTCTACGTTTGGGGAGCCCAGCTGCCCAGCACATTTAAAACGCAACTCTTCCCAGCAAAGACCTCCCTTTTCCAGCTGCAGAACTCAGAAAACTGGACCCACACGATAAATCAGCCATCAGTAACATGTAGCTTTATCTCACTGAGGCCCAAAGAGCGGCCGCAGAGCTGGGTTCGAGGCCGTGAGACAAAAGGCCTAGCACCCTCTGCCTGATGCACCATCACCAGGCACACACTGTTTCCTGTCTTGGGGCCAATGCTCCTAATCAAAGGTAACACCCTGCTAAAGATTCACTACAAACATACCGGGTTCATTTAAACCACAAATACCTGCAAACGATACGGGTAACAGACCAGTGGGTTAAGAGCCAACGTGCTTATTTCATCTTCCTGAGAACTCACCAACTTGCAGGGCCTCGGCCTCTAGTTCATGCCTGAACTACTCAGGTAGCACCCGCACTTCCCCTGACGGGAGATTTCCTACCTACTGGGAGGAGGCTTCCCTGCGCCGTGGCCAATGTGTTTAAGAGGGGGTTGGGGGGGAGGGCAGGCAAGGCTCTCGCCTTCATACCAGCGGCGTGGGCTGCCCCTGCTTGCCAACGCCAACCTGTGTGGGCTGCGTGAGGCTGATGACAGGGGGCTGGAGAGCGCTGCTCACGGTGGCTGCCGTCTTCCCGGCCGTGCGCTGGACCGAGCTGCTCAGCACCACGGCCGTGAGCGCGGTGGTGGCCTGCGAGGCGGGCGGCGGCTGCTGCTGGCTCTGCTGGATGAAGGCTGCGGAGTCGGGGGTCAGCTGTCTCAAGGCGGGCAAGCTCCTCTGGGCGGAAAGACAGACACGGGGTCGGCGGCGGCTCGGGCACTGGGTTCCTTCCTCGCAAACCCAGAAACTTGCAACTCCGAGAAACAAGCCTCAAGCTCAACCAGGCCGATTTTAGAGCCTTGACGCCTCTACCCTGATGTTGGTGTCGGCATCTGGCACTCACGGACCCCCAAGCCCGACATCACCAAGCAGGATTATGCTCCATAAGAACCAAATAAAATTTGTTTAGAAAAGAGAAAGAGAAAAGCAGTAGATCTGAAATGCTCTTAAGAATGTCATGATGGCAAAGCTTACTCAAGAGGGCCGACCTGATGCCCCTGAGCCCTGCTCCTCACTGGTGAGCCCCGCCCATCAGCCCTCCTGCTGGTGAGCACCTCCTTGCACCTCCGCAGGTGTGGGGTCAGGGGCCTCACATGGCACAGAAGAGCCTCCTGACAAGAACCTTAATGAGCATCACAGGGCACTTTCAGCCCTCAAGCCCAGCGGGGACACCCGCATGGCCCTCCTCCCCCCCAACAGGCCTACTGCAACCTGCCAGTGCACAGGGCTGCACGGGGGGTGCACGGGGGGTTCACAATTACCTTCAGGAAAGGCACAAGGTAAGGTTGAGGTGAAGAATTAAGTTCTCGGTACAATCTACTAGTGAAATCTTCTGCTTCGATTTTTCCATCCTTAAAAACAAAAATCACAACGAAATTCTCCTGTGAATAGACATTAACACACACATCTCTCTGTTCAGCATGTGCTGGTGTCCTGTGTGGCAGTCAGGGTTCTTTCTGCCAGGTCTTAGGTGGAACACAGGGGACAGCACAGCAGAAGTCAGAAGACACAATGACCTACACCAAAGACCCACACCAAGCCTCCAGGAGGAAGCCCAGGGCACGGAGGAAAGCGAGTGCCCAGACAGGAGGGGGCATGACTCTGTTCTGGAAACCAAAGCAAGTGTGGTCTGAGGGGAGGAGGCAAAGAGAGGTGGGTAGGGATGGGACAACACGGGCCATCCTCAAGATGAGGCCGACACCTGGGGTCCCCACAGGAGAACATGAGCCTCTGCTTGACCTGTGGCCTTGGCGTCAGTATATCACCAGCAGCCAAACCCGGAGCTAGCTAATGCTAAATTCAAAGAGGGAGCAGCCAGCAGGGTCCAGAAAGCCAAGAGGTCCCATGAGAAGGGTGGAACGGGGGTCCTGGCCCCCTGACAAGAACACAGCGGGGAGATGGGGGTGCAGTGCTGGGCCATCTGGGGAGCAAGGGATGGAGAGAGCCAGCCAGCTCCCTTGGCGGGGGGGGGCGGGGAACCACAGACAAGGGACCGTGGGGATGAAAGAGAAAAACATTTATTTCGTTAGAAATTTTCATCAGAAGGTAGAACTGTTCAATTAAAACAAACAAAAAGCCAGGAGTTCATATTTCTCATGGGAGATAAGATCATTTTTCAATCTCTAAGTTCCCTGAAAATATTTAAGTATATGGTCTGAAACAATCACTTGCTTGCGTGAGCACAACCTCTTTCCTTCTAGACCAAAACCAGCGTGGGCTGCACGCGGGGCACAGAGCCAGCCCCTCGGAGGAGGACGCAGTGTCTCTGAGAAGGGCTGTCCCTCAGGCCGTCACCCCGGGGCCGAGGGCCTCCCCTCTGCCACCCACTCCCAGCTGGCTGCACCAGGAAGGCAGGCCCAGGGAGCCAAGAACCTGAGCCGAAAAACCCCAGCAGCAGAAAGACAGAAAGCATCCAAAAGCCCAGACATCAAACCACCAGGTTTCCTCAAGACAGAAATCAAAAGGAAAAGAGAAGAGCAAGGAGGGACCATCTGGCCAAAGGAGACCAAGGGTCGCCCGCAGTGCCCGCAGTTGACTGAGCCCTGGCTGGAACAAGCTGTAAGCAGCAGGGGAGGCGCCAGTACCATGTGTGGCGGCCAGGCTCTCAAGAGCCCCTGGGTCCCTAGGCTGGCAGGCTGATCGCGTGCGGCGGTGATCTTTAACAAGTGCCCTTCCATGCCGCAATATGTATGGGACCGGGGGGGGGGGGGGTGCGGCAGCCAGATCAGGTGTGACTCAGTCACTGGGGAAGCCTAGAGACAGGACGCAGGGCTTCACCAGACTCTGCTTTCCACTTCTGACAGGTTTGAAACTCTCTATTACAGAAGATAAAGCAGAGACCTGAGAGAAAGCCTGTAAAACGCCCTGTCAGGTGTGTTTAAAAATGCTCCTGAGGCCGACGGGACACTTTCCAGCGGCCATCAACGGGACGCCCTGGGAAGTGGGCCAGGCTGACAAATGGTGAGGCCACAAAGGGTCGGGGTGCGGGGCACTGGCCCCCACGGTGGCCTCTCTGTGACGTCCCCAGAAGGCCAGCCCGGGCCGAGCGCCCGGCTGGGCCACGCACACCTGCGACAGGACTTGCCCTGCTCGGCGGCCCCCCGTGTGTCCCACAGACGCTCTCAGGCCAAGGGGCTCAGGGCCGCACTCTTACCAGTAGGCTCTGTACTAGTTCTTTCACATTAGCAGCTGTCTCTGTGGACTGTTTACCGGATGAAGCCAGCTTTATTAACGTAGACAGGAAATTTTTACATTTCTTCACGTTTTCCATGGTTTCCTGGATTCAAGTTAAGAAGATACAAGTGAAAAAGCGTTAAGGCAGATTTCCATCACAGGGCCAGGGTTAACTGAAATGTGCGTTTGTATATAAGAAGACTGTATTTATCCCCTAACGTTCTTTCCAGAAAACGCAGTAACTCTCACGGGCTGCTGATGGGGTAAAACACGCCAGCTGAGGGCAGCGAAGTCCGCCCCTCACCCGGCCAGCAGCTCGACTCTCAGGAACGTCACTGGGTGAACAGCCACGAATGGAACCGAAAGGAACCCGTAAGATGTTCAGCATAACGTTGCTTTATCATAGAGAAAAGCTCAGGTCTATTTAAGTGCACAGTAAGAGGAATTAAATTATAACATAGCTACTGAAGATGAGGGAAAGCCCTGAGCAACGAGACGAGAGAGGAGAGTCCAAACAAAGTGCGATCCCGGGGGCTGCGAGACGCGCATGTGCACAGGAAGCTACTGTGTGAAGAACGGGGATGTGGCGCTGCTCCACAGACACGGGCCCCGTCCTCAAAGGCCACTGTCTGGGCTCCTGTCACGGTGGACTCCTGTGCAGCCTGAAAGCCCAGCGGGCGACAGGGTCTTCCCGCCGCCCCTCAGAGGCCGCTGCTCTCACACCCCACCTGAGAGGCCAAGGTCCCCAGGCCCTGGAGGAAGGGAGGCTGCGGGCGGGTGGGTGTGCGGGCAGGCGAGGGCAGCAGGGCGCCTCCACGAGCCTCTCTCCCACCCCTGGGGCGGGCGGGGGGACTCACCGTGGCAGCTGTGGAGGTGGTAGTGGCCCCTGGGACCGTTCGCTGAGGTGTCCCCGTCTGAACAGCCGTCGCCGTCCCGAGGGAAGTTGTCTGGGCAGCACCACCCAGAACCAGCTGAGGCTATGAGAGTCCAAATGAGCCCAAGGTGACCACAGGCTCTGCAGAGATGGCCCTCACGGCCCCCAGAAGGTAACAAGACCCCACAGAGGTGGAGCCCCAGATAAAAGCCCCCAGGGCAGCAGACCGAGCGCCAAGGGAAGTGAGACGGCGCACCTGGCCCGAGACCGCGAGCCAGGAAGCCCAGCGCGGGGCCCAGCCTGCGTCAGGGTGGTCAGTGTAAATTATCTTTTCTCCCAGAAACTAAAAGCACAACAGAGAAACTACAACTGAAAATGCGTCACCTGGCTCGTGCAGAGGCTGGAGACAGGGAAGGCTGGGGACGTGAGGTTGTCACCAGTGTCACCTCTGGGGCAGGGGGTGTAGGCTGTGCCTCCGCCACCAGACTGGCCACTCTGCTCTCCACAAGCCGGTCTCATCAAGAAATGTCACGGAAAGGGGCTTTCAGAGCAGACGTGCGCCCCGAAAGGACGTGGGTGTGAGCAGGGAGGGGCACGTACTGAACACACTCATGGAGGCCAATGGCGGCTGGACACGAAGGACATCTCTGGCGACCCCAACTGCCGCCCCGGGAGCCCCCGAGGTTTCATTCCACGTGAACCATCACGACAATATTTACTGGTCTGTCCCACTAGACACTTCCAATTTATAAATGTAGCCTTCATCATCTCTCCAAATTCCCCAACGTTACTTTCTTGTGGCTTCTGCACGCGGAGACAGCGTCCCTGAGCACAGCCGCGTGCAGTGTGTCTGCTCCGCCAGGGCGCCTGCCCTCGCCAAAGTCCACTCCAGCCCCCAGGGACCCCCAGCTGCGGACACTGGCCTGTCATTCCTCACGGCCCATGCGCTCTCCCACCCGGCGCGTTCTCACAGCCCACCCTGCAACCAGAACTGCCGCACACACGCTTCAAGGAAGAAAGTGTGGAAGGATGCACCGGGCAGCCGGGGGCAGTGTGGCCGCTTCTGGACGCCCAGAAAGAGCGGGGCACTTCTCATCCTGTCGGGGTTTCCCTCTACCTCAAGATACACCCCTCGCGCTCCCTTCTGACGGTCCGACAGATGCGTGTTTCCCTATAGGACACCGAGACGGTGTCTGCCTATTTTGATAAATTCACTTTCCACTAAATTTGACTCAAAAACTGATGGTGAGCTTCCGGACCTTGCCAGAGAAGTGGCCTTTCACTGTAACTGAAACTCAGACATGCCCACCCCACAGAGCCCGGGACGCATACCGCGTCCCAGGAAAGTGTCCCCGGGGGGCTCCGGCCACACACAGGTCTGCCACTTAGCTCCCGTGTGCTCCTCCAGGTGCTTCGGAGAGCAGCATCACCCACGCAGACACCTGTAAACAGCCCCTGAAGACGAGGTACCACCAGAGGGATGGGAGCCCCGGGGCGGGGCCGGCTCCTGCCCCCTGCCCCCCGCAACCACCCCGTGCCACTCTCGGCCTCCACTTCCTCCGGGCAACTGGAACAGAGCCTACCCCCAGCACTGCAGTGGAGGCTGCACGACAATGAGCATTGCTGGCAGCGCCCCCCGGCTCCCGGCAGATGCCCAGCACACAGAGGCCCACACTGTGCATTCGTGACAGACATGCACAAACACCTGAAGAACAGAACAGCTCAGAACCCCATTCCTTCCAGCTGCCCTGACCGCGCTGCCCAGAGCCACCTGCTGCCCCGACCAGGGGGTCCCCTCTCCTCTAAGAGAAGGGGCCAGCCGCGCCTGTGCATGACCGCTCTTCTCAGCTTTCCAGACCAGAAGCTGAGCCGTTGGCACTAGCCAAACAACCCACCAAGAAGGCGCAGGGCCTGCTCCAAAGCACTCTCCTTCCCACAGATGAAGACACCATTTTAAGATCAAACACGCACAACAACCCCAACAGGCTGACAGGTAACGTCTCTGGACCTGGGCTTCGTTCCTGGCAAAGGGCACTGGCCGCGGGGGAGGCAGGGCAGCCAGGTGGCCAGCACGCAGGCGCTGAGGCCAGTTCCGGAAGCCCCGACCCCTCACTTGTCTGTGCCTCGCAGGAAGAGGGTGTGAGAATCCCACCCAATGGCGCACACGAGCAGTGGGAGCCCCGTTCTCAGAAGGGAACCCCATCCTCGTCCCAGCACTGACAGGTCAATGGGCACCACACCCTCTGCTTCACAAACGCCTTTCAATCAAGTATCAACAAGGTGACATTTCTAATTACGCTTCCAGCAGAGCGGGACACTTTTAAACATGCTGCTGGTATGAAAATCCACATGGCTTTAAAGAAAGGGAAGTCTGAGCTGTCCTGTGTCAGCAGTCAGAGAAACACTGTCTTCAGGACGCCTTCCTCCCAAAGCCCGGCTTAGCACCCAGCACCCCACCCCGCGAAGTTCCCCTGCACACGGAGTGTGCTGCACCCACGGCCACCTCACCTGCACTCCGGGTGAGCGCTGCAGCGCCGTGGTGGGCTGTACCGTCGTCGTCTGGGCCTGAGACACTTGCTTGATTATGGTTGTTGGGGTCACCTGCCGTGCAATAATAGGGGTCCCAGGTGCCTGAAAAATAAGCAAGCATCATCTAAAAGGAGCAACAAGTGACAGTAACTCCCCGCCACCCGCGCAGCGAAATCAAACCCCTGGTACAGACCCGGACACTCTGTCCGGCGCGTCAGGCCTCAAGCTACAGTCATCAACAAAGCCATCCCAATTCTAAGCTTTTCTTACCAGAGTAAAAGTGTAGGATCAAAATACGTATGTACTGTAATAAAGCTATCACTAGGCTTCTTCACCCAAGTCTACAAACAAGGTCTTTAAAGAACGCGAGTATCTGGGAATCAGTCCTTGTGCGCATTTCTTGTGCTCTTGTTCACAGCACTAAAAAAATCAGGCAGCATGAGTCCCCTGGGTGCAGAGATGGGTCACAGTGCTGCGGAAGAGGAAGTAAAGGAGTGGCCAGGTGGCCCACTGACACCTCAAGCCGATGGAAAGACGGCGCGAGTCCCGAGCAAGGTGGCGCTGGTGGTCAGACGGTAACACGCACAAGTGACACCACAGGTTGTCTTCCATCTGCACCTCACTTCACACAGCCCCACGGGCCTTGAGCACACTGTTCTGAGCTGTCCTGGATATTCAAGAAGGGGGCGCCATGTGGGTCTCCTAGCCCAACCAAGGCCTCTGTCTACAGTGCGGGCCTTCGCCTCCACAAGGGACACGGTTGACATCACAGGAATGTCAAGGCCCTGCCAGTCTCCACCTCAGTGACTAGTTGGCCAACCAGTCAGGACAACACTTATGGCACCAGGCAGAAAGGCACCGGGAGACAGAGGAGGTGCGGGTAGCAAAAGCTGGGATGTGAACAAGACGCGCCAGCACGGGGGAACCGCTCCCCAGCCCTGATCTCTGGGGAGAGATCCCTGAGCTAAGCCCCAAAGGTCTAACCACATGTTCACACAATCTCCTGATGCTCCCACGCGCCTCCCCAACAGGAAGAGCTAACGTACGCGGGGTCCACTTTGCAGAAGAGGAGACTGAGGCACAGGAGGTGGAGTCATGGGAGAAGAGGGAAGAGACAGGACGGAGTCCAGGGAACCAAGCCAGAGTTTCACTGAGCATGGATGCAGAGCTAGCTCCTCAGAGCCTCCCGATGGTGGGCGGCATGTGGCCGCCCCTCTCCGCCCTCACAGGACACCTGCCGGACACCCCACGGGCCGCCACTGCCCGGCACGCGTGCACTCACCTGTACGGTAGAGATCTGGACGGGAGGGGCACTTGTGGGGGTTGCAGGGCGGGGCGCCATGGTGGTCTGAGGCTGGGTCTGCACGTGGGCCTGGGCCTGCATCTGGGCCAGGGCCTGCTGAGGAATCATTAACAACTGCCCGTTCTCACTCCGCACGAGGACCATACCTGGGGATAAAGGAGACCTGGCATCAGGAGACGTGCCCCCCACACACACACACACGGCCAGTGAAGGCGCTGACCCTATCACTGGGGAGCCTGATGTCTCTGAGAAGAAAGGAGAAGCTGTAAGACATGCAGAGTCTCTGAACTCGAAACACACTTGCCAATAAAGACAGCATCCAAGGCGGGAAAGCACACAAGGTTTTCTCCACGGGATTCAAGCAGCAGGTGAGTCTTCCTTTCAGAAGTCAGCCAGGGAGCAAAGCTTCTGCAGGCCACACCACCTGCCCCACAGCCACCTGCACTGGCCTGCAGGGAGGGCCACGCACCCCTCTGGGGAGGAAGCCAGGCACAGGGCTCCATGGCCAGGCACTGTCCCCACCACGCTGCCAAGCACTCCCACCACCACTCCCGGCCTTGGCCAGGTTCCTAGGGCGGCAGGTGTCACTCGGCCCCCAGCCCCACTCCTCGTCCCTGGAGGTGGGCAGCCTGGCCTCTCCACCCCACCACTTCTCCTGGACTGGGACATGGGAGACGCAGCGTGCCCACGGCCTGGGGTCTTGTGAAGCCCGAAGCAAGCAGTCCTCCTGGGAACATGAGTCCCCTCTCAGGGGTGGGGGCAGCACCGTGCCCGCGGCTAACCTGCGACACCCACCACACAGAGACAGTGACACCCACTTACACCTCGCAGTGCTGGAGCTAAATTGCTGGAAAGTAAGTCCAATCAGTCAGATTTGGCATTAATTTTAGCTTCAAGAACCAGCAACCAATTATGTCGTAGATTCCACTAGAAACAATCTATTTTAGTGTCTAACTCTCACATTTCCCCGGACAAAGTGAGTAACAGACAGCACACTCGCGCTCACGCAAGGCCCCAGCAGAAGCCCAGGGCTGCGACGCTCCAGCGGGAAAGGAGGCATCTCCACCGCGCGCAGACCGGCCTCCCACGGACTGGACTGAAGATGGTTCTCTCCAAGCAGGGAGGGCTGGCCAAGAACCTCCTGTTAGCCTCACACGGAGGAGCATCAGGGTATTCCCTCCTGAACCGAACAGCAGCTTGAGCCACTCCAGGAAGTGACGAGGAGCCCCTGAACCTCTGGGTCCTGGCTCCTTTGACAGCCAACAGGACATGGGAACAGAACAGCCTCTCCCTGGGCTTACAGCTACAAGCCCTGATTCAAAGGAACCACATTTATGCCCAGTAAGTAAGCTTCCCTCCAAAACGTCCCTTTTACAATAAACCACGCTGAAATTTAAAAACAAAACAAAACAAAAACCAGCTGCTGCAAATAACTCACTCTGCTAAAATCTCCAAGACCTGGGAGCCTGTGAGCACACTGGGGACCCCAAAAGAGCACACCGGGTCAACTCCTCCTGATGCCAATCTCTCAAACCCACCACTCCCTCGTCGTCACCAGTCACCCTTCCATGCGGAGACCCCGCTCCTTCCCCGTGAGGACTCTGGGAAGCCAGTTGCTGATGCCACGGAGGAGCAAGGAGGACAGCAAGGCACCTGTGACTTAGCACCCCAGCTTCAAGCTGGTTAATACGGCAGTGGATGAACGTGCTTCAACGGTCAGGTGCTTTTCTGCTGAAAGCATTCCTTCCACAGAAACTTAACGGAAGATTTAAATACTCATGAAATAGCAACGTGGCTAACGCGCGAATGAAGCTGAGGCTGCATGCCACCCGCCATGCAGCGTGCCCGCGGTGACAACCGACATCTGAGAAGGAAGTGACCCTGAGACCCTAAGCAGGTAACTTCACCTCAGGTCGGCACTCAACGTATGTCCAAGTGGGCACGTAAGTGGACAGGTGAGAGTGACAGACGCAACTGGAGAGAAAGAGACGCAGCTGCTCTAACACGGCCGTACAGCCACCTGCCGGGGCCCCAAATGCCCGAGACCCTGGGAGCAGCTCTGCAGCTCCGGAGGCCAAGGGAAGGTCACGTGCGCATGGGGACGGGCTCCCTGGTCTCCCCGGCTACGCTGCGCTGCAGCCACTGATCAGGCGGAAAGCACGACAGCCCGACCCTAATCACTACGCTGACAGCTGCATCACAGGGCGTCAAACGCCACATTTAATGACATTATCACAGTCCCGGATCTTGTAAACTCCCACTGTAACCACTCATTTCACACACAGAAGCTGCTGTGCAGTGTCTCTTCTTGCAAAGGCCAAGAAACAGAACTCTGTCTCAAAGTCGGCACCAGGAGGCCAGCCCCTCCCCACCCCTCTGGGGCTCAGGGAAGGGCTCCCGCGGGTGTGGCCCACTCCCCCTTACAGATAGGCTGCCTGACACACCAGTGTCCTCCTTCATAGACGCAGCCCAAGCACACTCCCCACACACACACCCCGGCAGCCAAGAGCAGGGCTGCACACAGCAGGCTTCTTCGTCAGACCCCTGACACCAAAAACACACCTTCCATTTCAAACGACCCTTCAGAGCCTGTCCAGCCAAGGTGGCCAATCCCCAAAGGCAGTTCGCGGGCAGGGTCAGGAGCCATGGATGGGCCTCCCCTCTGTTCAGGACACACAGGAGCCAAACCCAGCCTGTCCGCACAAGCCGCCAGTGTCCACCTTAGCTGCGGTGTGGCAGGAGGGCCTGGGGCCGTTACCCTAACCCTAACCACCCCGATCAAGCAGACAGAAAAGAACTCAGCTGTTCGGTTTTAATCATTGTAACACCTTGCTGAGAACAGCGGGTCTGTGTAGCAGACTTGAAAATTCGGAGACGTACAAGGATAACAGAAATCTGCCCAGTAAGTGCCCTCCGGTCACTGTGCACGTGGAGGACATGTGTTTGTACAGCGGTGACGAGAACACAGGCTGTGGCATTTCCTTCCCCTCACTGCTTGTTTCGCAAGTCATTTCCGTGTTATTGAACATTCTTCAAAAGCACAGTTTTCAGTAGCTACATGATACTTCATCCAAGACAAATGTATAATTTCTTTATTGCTTAGGCTATTGGGCTATTTTCTGGGTTTCATTGCTGTGAAAGCTCAGATTTTAAAATTACCACGTGCAGCATGAACGCCCTGCCGGCAGTTCCAAAGGCCACTGTCTGGCAGAGCCCCGGGCCTCCCGCGCTCAGCCGCACAAGACCCTGGCACCGCCTATGTGGGAGGCCGGGGCACCCCACACGTGCCGTCCCAGCCACTCAGCACTGGACTACAGCTCTTTAGAATGAATCCTATCCTTCCTCAAGCACAGAGTTTAAGATAAACTCAAGGTTTTTACCCAGTGTTACAGTTTCCATGATCCCTTTCATACCAACACTTTTTTACTGTATTTTTAACCAAAATGTAGGTCAGCCAAAGCTACACTACAAATTACACAGGAATTTTTGGACTCGCCTGGGAACCTCCACCTGGAAGACATCACTTTAGGGGAACGCTCCTCCACACAACCTTCGGGAGCTGGGGACTGGGAGCTGTGGGCTTCACGCCATCCCCCGCAACCTGGCAGGCCACAGCCCTCCACACATGGGCCTGGGAGGGCACCTCCCTCGGGGGAATGGCTGGAACTGTGATGACAGGAGCAGGGAATGGTCGCCCGGGTCAGGGGGACCAGACCTCCTCCCTCACCCTCACCGCCTCAAGGGTCTCCAGTGCAGTCACCTGTCAGACCATGAGGGGAGTCCACAAAGACTCAAAAGGCAAAGCCCTCCACAATTAACCATGTGCAAAATGAAACTGTCCCCCGAAAGCAGAATCTGAGGACAGGAGCCGAGAAAGGGGACAAAGCTCAGTCTGAAACACAGCTGGAGACTTCATTTCTGAGTGCGGCACACCACATTGCGATCTGGAACCGCAAGGAAGGGCCTGGAAAGGGTGAGGAGGGCCAGGGACCTGCCGGCCCCGGGCTGTGGCCAGAGAAGGAGGAGGAACATCCCTGAGGCCCAGGAGCCCAGGGTAACGGCCCCAGGCCCTCCAGCCACACAGCAGCTAATGTAGACTTGGTGAAGCTGATGTAAACTACGGCCCAAGTGTTCCTTTTCCTCTTGTGGCTCTCTCCCTTTTAAAGCCACGGGGAAACTGTGACTCCAGAAAGGGGGTGGGGGGTTGTGCAGGGGGCGGACATGCGTGTGGGTGGGGCTCCTGTGTGCTGGCATGGCACCCCACCTCCCAGGACTACGCGTGGAGGGGACAGCATGCACCAACTGTACCCAACTGTGCTGCTGGGGTGCTGGCTCCAAAGGGTCCACACATGGTCCCAGGGGCCAGTCCTTCAAGAGCAGCCACTCAGTGTCACAGCCTCACCGCACTTTGGCGGCTCTGCTCCCCACACTTGTCCACAAACTGCACAAAGCTGACCATCATTTCTGGAAAACTGCCCCTGGGCTCCTGCAGTGCCACCAGACAGTGGTGCAGGACCCCCCAGCGCGCTGGGGCATGGCCTTGGGTGTGAAGTCCCCCCGACCAGGATCAGGGGCTCTGCTCTCCTGGAAGACTCATCCTGTTTCCTTAAGGGGGCATCTGTGCTTGCAGGGCATCATTCTTTCAAAACCTGTTTACTGCTGTAAAGCTCAATGTTTTCACGTTCATGTGTACAGGGGACAATTCAAGGCTCTAAGCAAGAACAGCCCAGGAGGAAATGCTGTTGCTCAAGGGTGAGGGGCAGTGACATTATTGCATTTCTACACAGTTAGCTAAAGATGAAGCTTCTGACCCAATTCATGCTCTAGCACGTGCAGCTGTCTATATAACACAAACGCAGTTATAATGAACTTCAACTCATCCTAGCAAATACTGAAAACTACAAGCACAGCTGCGAAATGCAAAGGGAGACACAAAGCAAAGAGCTTTACCAGGCCTTGCTCACAGGTTGGGGAAGCCAGCGGTTAACATGCCAACTCTTCCAAATGCACCTGCAGATGTAATGCAATCCACCAAAATCCCAGCAGCTCTTTGTGTGGAAACGGATAAGCTGATTCTAAAATTCCTATACATACACAAGGTCCTAGAGTAACCAAACTACCACGACAAAGAATGCAGTTGAGGCTA